CTCCTGCGGCCGCAGGAGCGCGGCGGAGCGGCGCGGCGGCGGCGGCGGGTGAGGCCTCTGCCCAGGCCCCAGGGCTCCGCGCTCGTCTTTACCTCGCTCCGCTCCAAGGGGGAAGTGCGGGCCCGCTGCGGGGTGGGTCGGTACCCGGGGGCTGATGAGGCGCGGGTCAACCAGAACAAACCCCATCCGCCTTCCCCTCCTCTTGCTATAACAACCTTTCGTATACTACCGGATAATTATCATTAATTGCAACTATTGGCTATCAATGCAAACATGCGAGATTGCATCCCCAGCTTATGAAAGACTGATAGATATTAGCATGTTTCCCAACGAACCTTTAAGGTGCAACTAATTTTAAGGTAACTTAAAAGAGGTGTCCTCATGTTTTTAAGCTATTGCATAGTATATTTTTTTTTTCAAGGTGCTAATGTTTGGTCAGAAAATGGTGAACATACCAGGTAAAACAGAATACTGTGGCTTGCCTCTATGTTTAGTTGGAAATTGCAGTCCAGGTGGTGTCGCATCAGTTCTGCATTTTAACATGTCTAGAGGGAAGCAGTAGCTTCAATAAAGATGTTCATGACGATCATACTTAAGCACATTACACTTAAACACAGCTTGTTTCTCAGTGTTGCATGTTTCTAGATTCCAGTCTTAATACAACTCAGTATTCTCCACCTGATTATATATCATATGTGAAATGAGAAACAATGTTTCTGTCACTTTTGACAGCCAATTTGAACTTAAATCAGCATAATGCCCTAAGTTAGTGTCTTCAAATAGCTCAGTCTTTCAAATTCTGGCAGCAATAAATTCCTTCTTGAAGGTGGACTGTGTATTCGCATTATACATTCTACTAGACAAGTTTTTAATATTTCTGTTTTTAAAAATTGAGACAGTTTAGGCTGTTTGAGACTATTTTCTAGTATGGCTGGTTCTCACCATGCACAGGTGTTTCACACCAGAGGAGATGAGGATCTGTGTCCTGTTCACATAATGTTCTTGATGCTATTCTACATTTTGCTTTCCAGCCTTACTCTGCACTTTTCTTCAAGCAGCGATGATGAATTTGAAATGTGTAAGTAATAGCTTGTGTTTGTACTAGGTTTTGTACTAGTTATAAGCTTTTCTCTTTAAAAATGCATAATTTAACCACTGAAGTATTGTTCTTGGTAAATCTCTTGTTGTTACAGTTTTGGTTAAAATGAAAACTCCCAAATCCGTGGCACGTCCAGTTTCCAAAAAACAGGATGCAAGGTTGGTGCTGCACTAAATGACTTTCTGGTATTCCTATATGTTTTCTGTGTTAGCTCTTAATACTCCGGGTATATTTCAAACAAACAAACAAAAAAACTTAGTGAGTCATAGGCTGAGGAGAGTGTAGAAGTGAATACAGACAGAACTGGTCTGTGTTAATTCTGTGTGTTCAGCTCACATGTAAAATAGATCACTTGGAAGCATATGTGCTTTATTGCTGTTTCAGAAGGCAGTGTAGCTTGTGAAAAATCAACCTTTCAGCTTTCACCCATTTAAATGCAGGATTTATTAGATTATGCAGTTTTACACAGTTCAAACTTGCTCTTGACCAATTTTGTCAGCATTAGACATTTATAACATAGCAGCAGAAACAGAGATGATGCTGATGGTCTCAGCGTGGGAAGAGGCATTATATGTTCACCTTGCGGTAGGAAAAATTGCTATCTAATGGATTAGACTCCTGTTCTGTAATCTTGCTGGAGAAGTATTGGTATAGGTTACAATAGTTGAGAATAAACAATAAAATATTCTTTAAAATACTGTAAGATTCACACAAATTCATGTTCAAAGCAGTTTGTTGTTGTTTCTGTTGTACAGCAACATGAGTTTTTCTGGTAGAGTTTTCTAAATCTAATCTTCAGGATTCCTTATCTGCACTTACGCATGAGTTTATTTTCTGGTAGAGTTTCCTAAATCTCATCTTCAGGATTCCTTATCTGCACTTACTGGAAAAATTGTTGTCCACCTCTCAAATATGAATACTGACAAGTTAACCTGTTAGACCTGTGAACTTTCATAGCGTCCTAACAAGGTGGAGTTGAGTCTTCAATTCAAATTTAAATTAGGAAAATACCTGTCAACAGAAGTAATTGGTAACATCTGTTGTGAGCAGCTCCTAAACATGTAATAGATGGTTTGCTTGCTTTAGCAAGTCAAACTTACCCTGCTATTTTCCTGCTCATGCCCACTGGCATTTCATATTATTGCTTGTTTTACAGTTTGAAGGACTTCATCGATGACTCGGATGACTACTTCTTGGACCTTAAAAAGGGAAACAGCGCAACTAAGAGTGGCAAGTAATCATCTAACAACAAATATGGAGCAGGAATTTTACTAGGTGGAAAAACCACAAATTTGGAGGGGAACTTATTTAATCAGGTCATATTGGCCCTTCTTTGCCATCAGTCCTCTGTTACCCTCATTCTTTCTTAGATCTCCATCCTTCTGTAATGTTTCCTGTACAGTTGAGGGCTCAAAGTAGTGACATGCCTTTGTCTACCTTCTCTGTGTGTCCTGAATTTGAATTAGGAAACATGTTTGGCTGCTTCTGACATTAAAAATCAGTTTGACGTGTGTTTTGGTTAGGCCAGCTTGTCTGAAACTACTTTTTTTTTCTAGTACAATCTTGCTGCTTATTTCTTTGAATATTTAACATTGTTATACGTGTGTGTTTGTGTGTGTGTATATATATATAGTATGTGTATATATTTATAGCTTTTGTTGCCAAGAATTAAGTTTTTGCGAGTGCTAGCTAGCTATTCTCAGTTTTTTGGGTTTTTGGTTTTTGTTCCTTCAGATTGCTAGGCCAAAAGGCTGATGTAATGTAAACACTGTTTATTTTTACAGTAACCACAGAGTACTTTAGTTAGTAAATTACATTTACTAAAGTAGTTTAGGTAAGACTGGCACAATAAAGCAAATAGCAGGATGCCTTTCTCTCATTTTCTCCTTTTCCTGATTTTCAAGGAAGATATTTGTTTTAAGACAAGACACATCTTCTAGGAGAATTTACCAAAACTTTAAGCCGTTTCTCTTGAATTGCAGCACGGAAGGATCTTCAGACCCCAAAGAAGTCATCGAGTTCTGGAAAAGAAAATGTTTGTTCCCAAGAATTGCTGAATTTAGATGCTTTCAGTGATGATGAAGATTCTATCACAGTAGACAGTTTATGGCATGATTGCCAAAAACAGGGAGAGAAAGGCTTGAGGGAGAGATGCATAAGACTCCCTCCTCCACAAAATCAGAAAGAGTTAATTTCCAGGTATAGTCCAGATTTGCTCGTTGGAGAGAAAGAAAGAGCCTGTGGAAAGGAGAGAACAGAAGATAAAACGCCAGCCTTAGCAGTCCGACAAAGTACAGAGCTAGAATCAGATAGCTCTGGCAGTGAATTTGAATCCTTAATAGAACGGATAAGGAAACAAAGTGTGTCCCGGAAACCTCTCTTAAGCACAAGTAAAACTGTGAACCAGCCAAGTACAATAGGTAAGAAATCAAAGCTAGCCTCAGGGTTACCTTTTAGGAGCAACGTTGGTACTACCTGCCGAGTTCTGTTCACGTGTGTGGCATGAAGCACAACCCAGCCTGTCTCTTCTGTTTGATGTTAGCAGAAATTGTTCCTCTGAGCACTCAAAGTGATTCTACCAGCCTTGCCATATCAAGACTTGAGCTTTTCTTTGTCACTTGTTTTCATATTTCTTATAATTGCCAAGCTTTTCTTTAGCTTTATTTTTTTTAATTGTTCTGAAGACAAAGCTAAATTGATAGTTTTCAAAGATGTCATTTTTTAACATATGATAGTAGCTAACATGAAGTTGTCATTTTGTTAATGCTGAAATCTTGAACAGTCTGGGTGCTATTAATTCAGTGTTTATGTGGATTTGTAATTTAAATTCAGTTTATGGTGAGATTTTAAATAAAACACTAGCATCTCTTCTTTGACAAACGGAAGAGAGCTCCAACTGAAAGACTGCAAAGAGGGAAAAGACTTGCTGGAAAAGGCCTATAGCTGAGTAAGGGCAGGTAAAAACAAATCTCTTTAGAAGGTTAAACATATGGTGCCATCCTCAAGTATTAATTCAAGATGGGGAGACTTACAGAAGAGTGTGGAAGAGACTGGTGACAGCACAGAAAGATGTCCTGGCAAAGAGCAGATCTGTATTTTGGGGGTTTGGGATATTGTAGAAGAGCCAACAGAGAGAACAGTTGCTGAAACTGTAAACTTTGAAGTAGTGAATAATTTCTGTCAGGGCCAGTTTAAACAATCTAGATGTGATCTGTGAAAATAGGCAGCTGCAAGAAAAAAAAACTATGGAAAACATATCCCATATCTGTCTTCTATGCAATTTCCTAAACCTTTCTCTTTAATGAACTTGGACCAAAGGTCTGGGTCAGCATGGCAGTTCTTGTCTGAACTGGAAGAGGCAGGTTCTGTAACCACTGTAGCTTATTTACTTCCCCCTACTCCCCTCACAAGTTGTTTGTCTGTTTTTGTTGGGTTAAAGGTAGAGGTTGCAAAGATTATAGAGTCTGTGTAATACTGTTAGTGAGGCTAGCTCCTGATAAGGGTGTTCGAGTCATTGCAATAACCTGCTTATGTTGTAATGTAGGAGAGTATTATTATTTTTTTTTTTAAGAACAAACAACATGACTTCAGGTGCATAATTAAAGTTTGAATTTTATTGTTCTCTTTCAAATAATATCTGCACATTACTGCTCTTCATGTCCCAATGGTGCATTTTGAACTGGTGAAATGTCACAGGAAAAAAAAAAAAAAAGCTGAGAGAAGTCACAAATGCTTTCCCTTCCCTTTTGCCCTAGCCAAATATGTGAAATTTTGGAGGGACACTCCAAATGAGCGGAGATTTTAAATCATCTGGCAAGTGATCATTTTTATCAATTGTGTCCAAGTATGACCAGAGCCATAGGAGGAGTGTGCACACTGAGACAGAATGTGTGACTTGTTTCCTAGCTCGCTGGTTGTTGATGTGTGTGCTCCTGATTCTTGGACAGTGTGTAACATTTTGACTTTTCTGTTGAGCTAGAAAGCCGTAAGCCTTCCTGTGAAGGTGCTCAGCCCTCAAAAGGGGAGGAAGACAAGAAGCCAAAGTCAAACTCCATTTTACTTGAGGAAACACCTTCCAGGATAACATCTTCTGTGAGAAGTTCTGGCAGTGAATCAGGCAGTTGCACGCCGTCAACACAGACAAAGGAAAAGTAAGTGTTTCTCCACCTACACTGTGTTCCAGGAGGGTTGCAAGATGGAAGAAGAGATGCTGAGAAGTCTTTTGCCAAGGATGGCATTCTGATTTGCCTTTTATTTGGAAACTTTTGCTACTGAACAATTGTGAATTAAGTAGAATGGGTGTTTAAAGCTTTAGACTCAAGTATGACAGGGAAAATACAACCGAAGTGTTGAAGTGGAACAAGCCATCCTGCTGGCATATCTGCTTCTCCTGGATGAATAGTTTTGCTTGTGATTCCCATCTATGGTCATGTCTCTGAAAATATGTGTTCATCATGGGTGGTGATGTTAGGACAGTTGATATATTGATCAACTTCTGGTATAATTGTGGAAGCATTCCTGAGAAATTCAGTGGCTACAAAGGGAGCTTTGTTATTCTGAACTTAATCTGTTAAACTTATTTTTTATTTTATTTTTGTTTTAATGCTGTCTCTCGCAGGTGTAAATCGTGCTCAGTGCCTGGCTGTTTCTTGCAAGATCTCTCAAACCCAACATCCCAATATGTGAAGTATTTCAAAAAGAATAAAGAGGACCTGACACAGAAGCTCTACCGTCTCTATAACAACACCATCTTTGAGCGGAAGGTTGGCTTAAAAAAAAAAAAATCACGTTTCAGCAGTGATAAAATGCTGATTAGAGTGTTACTCCTTGCCTTTTGATGCAATTGCTCTTTCTTCTCTTCAGTTGGTAGAGTTGGGCTTATGTTTACATTAGGTCAAACTATTTTCTTCAAAGGGGATTTGTCGCCACTGTGATGCTGAGGTTTTCTAGTTTGGAGACAAATTTCCCAGCTGTGAGGGCATCCACTGCTTAAGTGAACAATTCAGGTGGTGTTCAGAAAAGCCTTTGGGTCGGTTTCATTTCTGAAGAGGCGACTGATAATAAATTGTGCTTCAAACTGAAAAGTTCAGCTCTGCATCTGAGAAGATAACACTGAGCTGACCAAGGAGAGGCAGAGGCCACGGTTTCACATGAACTGGAGCTGAAAGGGCTTATTGCTGCTGAAAATGAAAGCTACTGCTCTCCATTGTGCCAGTCCTTTCCCTGTGCTTTCCCTGGCACTTCACTGTTCAACCATTTCCTTGAGCTCATTTAACTACCTTAAACAGTTTATTTAAATTTAAATAATAATTTAAAAACAACTAACTAAAACTTAACAAAAGCTGGTAGGAACAACAACAAAAAAGCTAACCAAGAGAGATATGATGAAGGCTTATAAAACCAGGAGCAGTGCAGAGGATAAACAGGCAGTGATTATTCACCTTTTCACAGATGAGAATGAGGGTACGTGAGGTTAAAATGACAAGCTGCAGGTTCAGAACAATGAAGAGGTGATTACATTTGACAGGTAAATTAAGCTGTAGAATTTATGATCACAGTCTATTGTGTAAGCTAAAATTTCTTTTTTTCTTTTTTTTTTTTAATTGAGCTATTTAATCCTAAGGAACCACCTCCAGCTCAGTGAGGTGTTTTCTTTCAAATGACTTTTCAGACAACTAGCAGTGAAGAAGTGTACTTGGAAAAGAAAGTTTTGTGGTATGCCTGAGGAAGATACGGGAGATAGGAGAGGGCAGATCACATGCACTGTTTTGTTTCTCAGTTACCAGAGAAAATGGAAATAAACTGGAATAAGAAAATGAGAAAAACAGCAGGATATTGTGTAACTGGGCAGACAAAAAGTCCTGAAGTGCAGCGTTATGCTCGGATAGAACTGTCTGAGAAAGTCTGCGACTCTGCAGGTAAGTGAAGGGAAAGATATGTTGATCTCTCTGTGCAAAAGCCCCTGCTCTGCAATTTCCTGCCACCTTGGATAAATAAGTCAACAATAAATAATGCATAGGTAGAGGGTTATAAGAGTGTGTGCTACTAAGAGGCTTGATGAGTTCACCAAGTGTGAAAACACCAATGCAGTAAATGAAACTAAGGTCAAAGCATGGAGATGTGACTAATGCAGAATGTTATTAAACTGTGGAATCCCAGACTGCGGGATGCTGTGATCCCTGGAAAAGTTATAGGGTTCAAATGCAATAGAAAACCTGTAGAGGATTGCTACATACAAAGATACCATCTCTAGCTCAGAAACCCGAGTCATTTATTTTTAGAAGCTGGGAGAGCAGTTAAAGGAACGACTGCAATATTTGTTCCCTGCTGTCATACAATTCCCTATTCATCTGCCATTGATTACTGCTAAAGGCAAGGTAGTAAGCCTTCTCTGAAGTTTCATTTTTCTCCCTCCTTTTTGTTATCAGTTTAGGAATAATAATAGCATTTGCAGCTTTTATTAGCTGTGGAATAGAAAATATATGCAGTCTTTGGATTGTCTGTATGGGTTACATTTTGAAAAATGTGAGGTGCTAATTTCTGTCTGTGTGCCCTGCAGGTTAAAAACAGTTTACAGTTTTGGGTTTTTTTTTTTTTTCTTCCCAGATACAGTGTCTTGACATTTTGTAGCAGTTTGATAGTTACACAAAAGCACCATTTGGACAAAATCTTATTTCTCACATTTATGGATATTGCCAGGTTCCTGAAGGGATCACACCTAACATTTCTTATGAAGCAATGCTTTAAAAAGGGAGTGAAACAGCTTAGCTGTCCTTTGCTTATAGTTATCTTCGTGTTCTTCATATTGAAGACAGCACTGTCTTTAAAGACTTGGGATAGATCAGTATTACCATAGGAAGCCTCTGTCCTATAGGGATCATACCTGGCAGTGGGATAACATCAGAGCAGTGAGTTAACAGTGGGAGATTGTAGCTCCCTACATCCATCTGACTCTGTTTCTTGTTGTTGTTTTTTGTTTTACCTCAAGACCGTCTTCGAGACACCCTAATTCATGAGATTTGCCATGCAGCCACCTGGCTGATCAACGGTGTTCGGGATGGACATGGACGGTTCTGGAGATTCTATGCCAAGAAGTCAGCCCTGATTCATCCGGAGCTGCCGATGGTGACGCGATGCCATACCTATGAGATCAAGTACAAGTTCACATATGAGTGTGTCTCGTGCAAAAACACGTGAGTACCGCTTTGATGAGTGATCTCATGTAGGGTTTTCTGTTAACTTTTCTGACTTGGCAGTCTCATGTGCTAGAAATTAAGAGCTTCTTAAACTGTGAAGTGCCTGGGATAGTTGTCTGGACTGTCATTTCCCCTTGCTTGAGCTTGCAGAATCTCACCATGTGATTCCATGTGTTTGTTTCCAAGTAGTTCCAGACTATCCAGAGGTCAGGACAGGAAGAACTGTCCTCCAGTGAGCAAGCAGTGAGATGCCAGGGTGCTTGCCTCAACTTTAAGGGCCCAGGGGGGAAGATGCAGGGCCACTCTCCTCTTTCATGCAGCACTCAAATGACACAAACCCATATTCTCCCTCTACTAATGATCTGTGAAACACTTAAGTAAACTTAGTGCATTTTTTTGGATCATATTTCTGTGATTTCACAGTGAACACTGAGCCTATTATAAACTTAACAGCAGAGGACAGTGCCTGCAGTTGTAAGTGTGTGAACCTGCCCTAGCCAGCTCTGGCTCAACCCTGTAGAATGTACTAGGTGCTAGTACAAGTGCTAGGTCTGCTGCTCTATTAATAAGTAGAATCAGGTTGTAATCAGTAAAGTGGTCATAGATTTCAAAAGTAAAATCTGCAAACAAATGTGCACTTAGCACCCCTGAACCATTGTGCTAGGTGACCTGTGATTCAGTCACTGCTGTCAGATTTTGTTTCATAAAATCGAAATGTAAATTAAGGGCGTGAATATGGATATCTGAATTTAGGTTTAAGTTGGACAGCTAAATGTTTGATCAGACCTTTAAAATGTGGAAAAGACAGTGGAAAAAGTTTTAGGTGAGAAATGTCTTAATATAGATTTGATCACTCTGTTTCCTATTCTGTTTTCTGTTATATAAAGATTATTTAGGAGCCTGATTGAATTAGTCCAGCAGAGGAGAAAAGCCATTCCCACAAATGCTCCCTACCGAAATGTGGAGACACTTATTTTTCCCTGTTTTCCTTATTTTTCCTTTTCAGGATTGGCCGCCATTCCAAGTCTCTGGACACGGAGCGCTTTGTGTGCGCGCAGTGCGGGGGGCAGCTGGTGCTCGCTCAGAAGGACGGTGCTCCTGCCAGGACACAGCTCACGCCCTTTGCAAAGTACGTGAAAGAAAATTATGGGTCTGCTAAAAAGGAGCAGGGCGGGTTGAGCCACGTAGAAGTTATGAGAAAACTCAGTGTTGACTTTGCTCTGAAAACTAGGCTTCAGGATTCCTTGTGAGATCTCAGTGCTCATGTTTTCTTGAGGCTAATTAATTCTTGTATGTATCGATAAAATGAATTTGCCTAACACAGAACATGCATATATATATTTTTTTAGAAGATTTCTGACATTTTTAATAGCTTGGCAGACTAAGATCCTGAGGCCTTTTCCAATGGAAGTAACAGTGGACAAGAAGTAATGATGATGGGGAATCAGTGGTATCAGTACTCTCGTTTACAGTTTACTGGCTTGTGTATCCTCCTTATACCTCAGATAAACAGTATGGTGCTATACTGCCTTAAAGAAGCAGTTCTAGGCCCTTTATAGGACAGAGTTGCCATCTTTGCCTGGAATTTTCTGCACACTATTTACACATAGTGCTTCACAGCGTGAGCTCAGTGACTCTGCTGAGCAAAAGTTTTACTGTGGGGGTCATCTGGGTAGTGGATCTGCTCAGTGGGTGTATTTAGATTCTATGTACATGTGATAAACAGTGTACGTATATCTGGGATAGACAGATGTTAAAAAAAAAACCCTCAGGTATATGAGCCAAGTCCTCTGTGTCTGGGTGATTTTCAGACAGAAAAAGGGCAGATGTGAGGAAGACTTAACCATGAGTTCAGGTGCTCTCCCAAGGAGAGTTACTTTTAAGGAAAACATTCAAGAAAGCTTAGGAAAAAGGGTGCTTTGGGTTGGTGAGAAAGTGTGAATTTTCTCCAAAGCGCTCTGGACCCTAATGAGATCAAAGCTACCTTGATCATGAAGCTTTGAGGGCATTTATTCCTCAGTAATAGAGATTTTATAGAAACTAAACCTTTCCTGTAGCACTTGAATGAATGTGTGTGTCAGTGTTGCAGTGTTTGTCTGCTGTGAACAAATTGCTCAGGCAATTAGCAATTTTGCATCATCAATAAATGTATTTTCCTACCACCTGTGGCATCTTCCTTCTTACTGCTTCACGGTGACTGTGTAAGCGGTGCCTGGATGTTTCAGTTTCTCCTGGCTCCTTGTTCCACGTGCAGCAGGTCACCCTGGCGTTTGCATCGTGCCCCAAACCTGAGGCTTTTTCAGCCCCTGCAGCAGTTGTGCTGCCCTGGGCTTATCGCACCTTGGCCCTGCTAAGAGGCAGCTGCTCAGGAGATGCAGCTTCCTCTTCCCTGTGCATCTCTGTCCACGCAGCCAGAGGCAGTTCTGGGCCTGCCAGTGCTTGCTGTCCAAGCAGAGAAGTCATCACCCTGGGCCCTTTCCCCCCTGGCCGCCTCGGAGCAGGAGCTGTTTGGATCCTCTTGGCACCTGCAACGTTCTGTTCCGAATCCCTGACTCCTGCTGCCTATTACATGGTTAGAAATGACACCTCACACCCTGTTGGCATCAGAGAAGCCTTGGATCCAGGCAGAACTCGCTTCCTGAATCCGGCGGGCCCCCAGCATCTGGAGCTCTATCCTTATCTCGACTGGGCAGAGCGGTTGCAGAGCTCAGGGGAGGTTCTTGTGGAAGGTACCAAGAGCAAATGGCTTTGCCCCCAGGCTCTTCAGTGTTCCTTTTCTTGGCAAAATAAGTGTGCACAAATAAAAAGGGGCTGTTGGTAGGAACAGCTCTGGTCTCAATCTTGCTCAGGCAGCTTCATGCTGACCCTTGGTGCCTGCAGAGCAGAGCAGCGGGTCTGGTATCTTCTCTGGCTCTGTTCCCTTGGGGCTGTTTCATGAGCTGACCAGTCTGGCAAGGGAAAGCTGTAACTTTAAAGAGAATGGAAGCATTTTCAAGAAAAAGCCCCATGGGTTTTTAAAGCACATCATGGAAACGAAGCCGGTAATGCTTCCTCAGCCTTTGCAGGCCTATCTAGCAAAAAAAAACCCTGCACTGTCCTTGCAGAAGTCACTGTGACCCCGCTACCAAGGCAAGGTATTTGCAAAAACATGTGCCCTCCTCGTGCTGCTGGAGTGCTTCCCTCCTGGCTCCTGGTGCCCCGCAGGGCTTTGGGGGGCAGGAGCCCCCAGGGTGAGCGCTGTGGGCACTGCCTTGGACCGCGCTTGTCCCCACGCTGCCGCCTGCACCAGCGAAACCGGCGCCCTGAGCGGGGCCCGGGTGGGCACAGCTGCCGCGGAACGGCTGCAGAGCTGCACAGGGGCAGCTGCATGGATGGGACCTCGCCAGCAGGTCAGGCTGGAGCGCCCCAAGGCCTCTCTTGTCACACTCTTCTGGTGGCCTCTCGTGTTCAGGGGGTTTCTCTGGTTTTAGCTCGATGCCTCCTCTGCACAGTCCCCCCTGGTTTCTGAGGGCACACGAGGGGAGAGGGGCGGCCGAGCAGCCCCCGCGCTGGGGCAGGGCGGGTTGTGCTCAGTGGTACCAAGCCCCTCGACACTTGGACCCATTGGTGTTTTATGTCTTTATTAACAAACGTTGTTGGCTCTTCCCCCCACAAGGTGCCTGGTGGGACGATGTTCCTGCAGCGCCCGGGAGGGAGCGTCGCTCTGGCTGCCCCCTGAGCAGGTGGGTCCCCCTGTGCCGTGAGCCAAGGCAGGACGTGGGACACGCCGAGGGTCTCCGGCCTTGTCCTTGTCCCCTCTGCTGTTCTCTGCGCACCCTCAGGGCTGTGGGGCGCGTGTGTCCCGGTGCCAGTCCCCTCACTGCCGCCGGTGGCAGCCGCAGGACAGGGCTTGGCAGGCAGCCCGCAGCGCCGTCCCCAGAGCCGAGAGGCACCGCTGGGAAGCCGGGGAGCTCAGGATAACTGGGGCGGAGGAGGGAGCAGGGTGAGGGTCTGCGGGGGCGAAGGGCAGGTTGTTCCCTTCTTGTTCCCCGTCACCAAGGTCTCCCCTGGGGCATCGTGGCCGGAGCACCGGGGTGCTGCTGCCGTGGGTCACGGAGACGTAGCAGCGAGGGAGGCCGGGGAGCCCCCGCTGCATCCCTGCCCCTGCCGAGGCCAGGGGACCACGGCTGGTCCCAGAGCCACCCCCAGAGCCGGGAGAGGGGCCGGCCGGGCACCCCCGAGCTCGGGGCCGCTCCCAGCCCCGCTGCTGCCCCCGCGGCGCCGCGGACGCACCTGCATCGTCCTCCTCCGACGAGCACGAGGGCGAGCTCTGCTCTGCCGCATGGGCCCCCTGCAGCGGGAGGGAGAAAAACAAACCCCTCTGTGGGGCCGTACTCGGGACAGCGGCATCCTGGGATAAAGGGGAACCAGCACGGGGCTGGGGAGGCCGCGGGGCTGGTCCGGAGGCTGCAGCAGGCATCTCCCCCAGGTGCCCACAGAGCGGGCAAAGAGCCGAGGGCGGCAGCCTGGCACTGCGGGCCGGCGGGACGTGACGTGGGGCAGCTCTGTCCCCGCACACAGACCCCGGCCTGGCCTGCTGGGAGGGCAGCCCTGGCCCCGCGCGCCCGCCTCACCTGGGGCCAGGGGCAGAGGGCCCTGGCGAAGGCTCCCGTGGGCACCGCCAGGCCCAGGAGCTTCTTGGAGGGGCGGCTGGCCCTGCGGGGCACCCTGCTGAGGAAACTGGGTCTTGCCCAGATCGACTGGACCGAGATGTTCTTGGGCTGCTTCCGTGGCACCCAAACGGTTTTTGAACCGTCGCTGCACAGCTTGATGTCCAGGGGGTCCTCATAGATCACCGAGTCGTCCGATCTTGCAATGTCTTCAGAACTGTCTTCCTCTTCGTTTTCTTTTTCCTTTTCTTCCTCTTCGTCTTCCTCTTCTTCCTCCTCTATGAGATCCAATCTCACATATCTTCGCCATGTCACAACTCTCTTCACTTTCTTGTACTCCTTCCTGGCGCTGTGGACCACCAGGTGCTCCATGAGGTCCTGCTTGCTCTTCACGTTCTTGAGGAGCTCCACTCGTGTGAGCTCGGGTTTCCACAGGTTAGGGAACGAGTTCCTGCAGAAGAGCTGAAACCAGCAAGGGAGATACGTAAAGACAGCTCCATTTCTCTCTGCAAAGACCTCCCAGGAGTCGGCCAGCAGCAGCCATGGGGCCCCAGGGTGCAGGGGACTATTGGAGGGCGACACTGTGGCACAGCTGCTGGCCCCAAGGGAGGGAAGGTTACAGACCAAAAGGACCCATGCAGAGAGATGTGGGCTTGTCCGAACCCTTTCCTCGCACTCACCTGCCTGTGTTTGATGTTAAGTTGTCCTGACAGCGTCAGTGTGAAATGTTTTCCCTTTTGCTCCTCTTCCTTGACCTTGCTCTTCTTCCACCAGCAGTGGATTTTCCGGATCTGGGCCAGGCTCTGGCCGGTGCGGCGCAGGGAGCTCATGTTGAGCTCCTCCAGGGGCTCCGTTTTTATGGAGAGCGCTGAGAGATGCTCCGCAGCGATGTCGGGATGGATCCTCAGGGGCCAGCCCCCCAGCTGGGGCACGATGGTCGCCTTCTTTTTCTTTTTCTCTTCCTTTTTCTTTTTCCCTCTCCCTGGCGGGGCCACCAGCTTCCAGTTCTTCATCAGCAGATGGACC